TCTCTGAGCAATGGACGGTGTTTACTTATTGAATGAATCAGCTTTTTGAACGAATCGGTTGAATAAATGATTCAGTGATTCACTCATTAACAGTCAAATGCTTTGTTCCTGAATGAATCAGCCGTCTGAATGAATTGGTTGAATCTCGATGACTCACTGATTAACAGTCATTTGCTGCCACCTACTGGCGGTTTTAATTTCACATTTCGACTATCTTTTTCATGTTTTAAATTGTTTCAAATATCAGTATTCAGCGTTTTATGTTAAAAACAAAACATTCGGCCTATTTATGCATCTGTAACTGCAGTTTAAATGCATTCATGTCCCCTCTGAGATACATAAACTGTGTAAATACTAGGGTTGCAAAGGGGTGGAAAATTTCCAGTAAATTTTGGAAATATTCCAGAAATTTTTGAAACTTTCCAGGATTTTTGGAAAGTTTCTGGAAATTTTCCACCCCTTTGCAACCCTAGTAAATACATCTAAATGCTATTTCAGATGCAGATTCCAGAAATATTTTCTTATGTTGGAATGAAAGACACTAAGTATCCGATGAAGTGCTTCTTATTCTTACCCAAAAATACAAAATGGAAGAAAGAGTTAAAACTGAACACAATCTTGCTACTCAAGCTGTGTATGAACATTTTTTATTTATATTTATTTGCTTCTTTTCCTTAAATGCATCCATGTCCCCTCTGAGATAGGCCTACATTAAACTGTGTAAATACATCTAAATTCTATTTCAGATGCAGATTCCAGAAATATTTTCTTATGTTGGAATGAAAGACACTAAGTATCCGATGAAGTGCTTCTTATTCTTACCCAAAAATACAAAATGGAAGAAAGAGTTAAAACTGAACACAATCTTGCTACTCAAGCTGTGTATGAACATTTTTTATTTATATTTATTTGCTTCTTTTCCATTTTGCATTTACTTGTACTTTTACTTTCAATACTTAAGTACATTTAAGATAAAAAAAAAAAGACTTTTCGCACTGAAGTACAATAAATATCACATACTTTAAGACTCTTACTCAAGTAATATTCTAAATGGGGACTTCAACTTCTACCAAAGTCATTTTCTGGTAAGATATCTGTACTTTTACTTGAGTATGGCTTTCAGGTACTTTATACACCACTGCACACCATTACACATATAGCTCAAACAAACATGTTTTTTTTCACTATTTGTTTTCCAATCCCTAAAGTTTTAACAAAGGCAATGCAGCAGCATCAGTGTCCACTCTTCAGAAAGTCAGCCTACGGATGGCTTTCTTATAGTTGACTGAACATTAAAATGAAAGGAGAAAGTATTTTAACAAGTTACACACACTAGCATTAAAAAAGATCTGACTAATGTCTCAAGAGAACAGAGCTATAACTGGATCTGACAAAATTCTTCTGTTCTAAATATGGCATCATGTGCTTAATGAATATTCAAATGTTGTGTAAATAAACTTGAAGACTGTTGGAGTGGATTTGACTCCAGATGTGTGCGTTGGGGGACCAGAAATGAAGTTTTTCACTTGTGCGATTGATGATGCTTCATCTTGTCAAATGAAGGGCTATCATGCGTTCAGTCTGAGTTGTATATAAATTACGGCTTGTCCCTGGATCTTGCTTTGATACAGTGGAAATATAAATCATAGAACAGCTCTTCTGAGAGCCAAAGAGAATGAAATATATTCTTCTCCCTTAAACGCTGGCAGACTGTCAGAATCAGTGTGGGAAAACTTTCTTTATGAGAATAAAACCCATCATTTTCTACCATCTTAAATGGAGCATGAGTGGAAATTAGCTGACTTCCCCACAAGTACATATATAAAATTCCCTTGTGTTTCTTGTGAAAAAGAAGTTCTTAATTGTATTGAATTTGCACTTGTACTTCATACTAAAACTCCACTTAAGTGCGTTTAAAGAGAGTACACTTTCATGCCTGTTTCTTAACACACTTGTACACTTTTAAAAAGTGCACTTTGTGATGTCAAATTAAATTTTTGAAGTAATTGAAGTACATTTTAAACCCTTGTTTTAATAATCTTTTGTCATGCTTTAAAGAAGCACACTTATTTTGATGTGTTGACTAACATATTACATACAAGTTTCAATAGAAATAACATTAAAGTATATTTTAGTTTATTATAAATGCTTGTCAGCACATTCGGCGGTATACTTTAATCATATTTCAAAGACAACTTCTGTTGTCTGTAATTATGAAATTACAAATAGCGATATACACTAAAGTTCAACTAATTGCATTTAACATCAATTTAAACCATATTTTCATTTAATTGTAAATAACATGCATTTAAGTGTCCAAAGACATCACATTCAGTTTGCACTTGAGTATGTTTTTCTAAAATATATTTTCTGTAATTTGTCATTTTGTTTTAAAAAGTGTGCTAAAGTGTACTTCTTTTTTTTACAAGGGGCTGTTTGCTGAAAACACATTCTTTGGTTGTACCTTTTAAGGAATTATGTAAAAAATGGACTTCATTATGTTATGTCTTCATGACTGCAGAAGAATAAAAGTGATTTTCTTTTCACACAAAAACTAGAAAAGATGCACACTCCGTGTTTAGGCAATAAACTATATTTATAAATAAAACAATTTGTTTTGTTTTGTCGTAAAACAGTGTACAGCGAGTATTAAATTGAACCATTCAATACTATCTGTTTCCAATAATTAAAAATGTGATAAATGCATCTGAGAAAAAAAAATGGAAGGTGTTCAGAGAAACAATGAAGCAGAGTGCTGATGGTTAATGATGACAGACATTAACATATTAAGTACTGTGTTGTTTGAGGAAGAGTGAGAGAGTGAAGAGAGCTGCTCTCCATCATATAATAATAATAATAGTGCATCTTTAGGTTGCTTTAGGAGTGCTGATAACATTGAAACATCACTGTTGCAGGTTCAGTACATGTAATACAGGTGCACTGTTACAAAGAATAACATTACAGGACTGAATATCTCCCAGTTAAGTTCTTTAAATCAACATCAAACCATAATTGACTTGATTTACTTAATAAATGTCCCTGGTCTTCTTGTGCACAATTCATCAGTTCAGGTTATTAAAACAATAAAACAGATGAAAAAACATCATGCATCATGTTTAATAAGTTCATTTTAACCCCAAGAGTAAGGCAGACTTTAATAAAAAGTGCTGTCTGTGAACTTAAAAACTCTCTTTTTTTCTCTCTCACTCTCCACCATTCTTAGCAGAAAATTAAAGCCATAAATATAAAATAATTGCCGAAGATTCTATCTTTTGATAGCGTTTGTCTTTTTTAAAAATCATTAAAAATGATTTGTTCATCCTTAAAAAGCAAAAGGTGATTTAGAAGTAAAAGATATCCTCACTTTCTTCTCATATCATGCTTTTCTCTCCTGCTTAATTTAGTTCATCTTTGATTGAAAAACATATCTTGAGGTTAATAAACCAGTCAGAGGACAAAATATTAAAAAATGCAGGTAAAATACATAAAAAGTACACCAAAACCAGCAAGCATTCACCTTCATCACTGCATCGCACAGAGTCTCCTTAAAGGGCATGATGGGATACGTGATCTGTTCCAGTCTTCTTCACTGAAGAAAGTGCAAGCCACAGGACACAGGAGGGACACTCAGCCACTAAAATGTCAATGCATCTCTTTCTTGTCTTCCTCCTCATCTTTTTTTCTTGATTTCACAGTGCCTTGAGCATGTGAGTCGACCCTCTGGGTCACCTGAAGAACATCACATGACGTCGACAAAGAACTCACTGGGGTTCCCCATGGCCATGCGGAAAGACTGGCGCGAGGCTGTGAGTTCGGGCGGCACTGAGGCCAGGTCTCGGTCTGGAGGAGAGCCCGGCGCTGCTGTAACGAGTGGCTGTGTCTGTGGCTGTGGAGGGAGGCCGGGCGCTCCACACACCAGGCTCTGGACGCTCCGGATGGTGTGTGAGCTACGCACGCTGTGTTCGCTAGGGGGCACCGCAGAGCGCTCGCTGGGAGCCTTCTCTCTTTTCTCGGACTCGCTGCCGCTGCCGGATCGGCCTCCAGACTCTTGCGTTCCAGCTGCTGCGTTTGCGTCGTTTTTACTGCCGCTTCGATTCGAGCCACTGCTTCGACTGCCTGTGAGCGAAATGAAAGAAAGGAAAAGAAAAGTGAGACTTCCTGTTTAAGTCTAATTCTTCGGTCACTTTTCAATGTATACGCCTTGTCATTGGATCACATATAATAAGGGCAGAGAAGTTGACCACAGGATCAGAAAGAGGCATTAAAGTCACCATGAAATCAAAATTGATCAATATTATTTTTTAATGGAATACTGTAGTGTTTATTATAAATAATTTATCCGTGCACTTCATTTTTTTTTTTTTATTCATGTGCTCTCGTAATCTTTAATCAAAAACGTTAACCTCCCCTCCCCCTCAAAACGACTCATCTTCTCTTCCGGTCACGAGCTATGATGCAAAGGCAGAGCTAGTGACGTGAGGGGTAAACGCTGGGATAAACCACAGGGGGAAAAGCTGAAGCTGATGCGTCACTTTATAGCACTGACACCAGTCATGAGGGAGTACATTACCCCTAAACATTGAAAAGATATTAGGATATTACGACAACATTACTCTTAGGACATCACAAACTAATTTTTTCATGAATATGACTTAACCTGATGGAGGACGCGCTCTGTCATTCAGGCAGTCTCTCTCTCTCTCTCGCGCGCGTGCGCTGTTTAGGCATGTTTTGTGCCGTTGATCGTCGTCGTCATCCTTGTTAAATAAAACATTTATTTATGCCTGGGTGTCAGCGGTGAATCCAGTGGAGAGAAATCCCCCACCACTAACTGCAAACTGGCATTCAGATCTGCCTCCATTTTGTTTGCAACACCCCACCTTTCAACGATCCAATCAATTCCCGAAGGACTAAATCAAGTCCCGCCCTCTCATTTCAGATGCCGTTTCACTCGGATTGACGTCACAGTAGAGAAGAAAAGCCAATCGCAACTACCGTTTCATGCCGACTTTAATCGCAACTTCCGTTTCATGCCGACATTAAGGGGCGATATTTTTTTCATGAATATGGAAGTGATTTCCTGGGCATTTTTCTTTACCTTTGTGAGTGTGTGTATATACTGTATATATATATATATATATATCAATCGCCATCGCAAGGGCTGTGCCAAGTGTGTGACCGCACAAGGCCTTGCGCCTCTATGGGCCTCGTGCCAAAATAAAGTGTTTTTGTCCTACAAAAGACTATAATAGCTAAAAATCATAGCTAATAGTGAGACTATGTGTATCATGATACTGTATTATAATGTTTCTTAAAAATGTAGTAGAACTTACAATTCGTTAATGTTGGAAACCTTGTACGTTCATAACTTTTCAGGAAATGTAAAAAAAAAAAAAATTATTATTATTTTTAAATAATTAAACACTGCATTGTCAAAGATGAACATTTTACCAAAATCGAGCGCAAGTGGAGTTACAAGGTTTTTAACCACCGAATGTGTTCTGCCCATCATTACAAGGGCATTAGAAGTGCATCGCATTACGTTTTCATCAATTTACACACTGTAAAGTTTAGTGGAGCTATGTCGGCACCCAATTTTTTCTGACATTTGGCCAAAATGTCAGATGGCAAATGATTGATGGCAAAAAAATCAGTGAAATTCTATAACAATTCAAATTTTTTGTATCTCTTTTAGTATCTTTTAAAAGGTTATTTTAAAATGTATTCCTGTGATGCAAAGCTGAATTTTCAGCATTATTACTCCAGTCTTCAGTGTCACATGATCGGTCAGAAATAATTTTTCATCATTGTTTTATTTAATTGGGCATGTGCAGTTTTTGCCCCCATATCCTGAATTTGGAGGGCATCATTGTTCATTGTGGTGGCATTTTTGCCCCAAGCCCCTGGTTAATTTCCGGCCCTGATCGAACGCAGTCTCACCTTCGCTGTGTGGGCTACCAGCGCTGCCGCCCCCTGCAGTGAAGCTGTAGCTGGGGTCGTGCACAGGGTGGGGATTGTACGGGTGAGGGATCGGGTACTGATAAGGGAACGTGAGCGGCCAGGGAGCTACACCAGGGTGAGGCAACGGAGCCAGAGTGTCCTGGTCAGATGCCCCACTAGAACCATCATGGTCATGCAAGGTGAGACTGGCCATATCTGAGACAGAAGAGGAACAAACAGGAGGGAATAAAGTTTACTCCAAATGAATAAATAAAAGATGCTTTGACGTGAAAGAGTGAGGACAAATCGAAGAACTAAAGATCAGGAACTCACTGCCACACAAGTCACCAAAGATGTAATAGCACTGTTCAGAGAAGGTGATCTTGTTGACAGTGTGCCGTATGTAGCCAGCTTTTAGCAGGTTGCTGGTGTATTTGCGTGCCTCCCGTCTATCAGTAAAGCCCTCGACGTGATGATAGATCCAATCCACCACATCTGAACCTGAGAGGAAAACTAATATTTTACTTCTGAAGACACTAGCGGAATATCCACATCCAACTTCAATTTAATGAATTCTCTGAAATTAATTATTACTTAAAACAATTATGATTGTTACCAATAAAATCAAATACAAAAGTGGTTGTAAATTCACCCTTGTGAAAAAGAAGTAGCCTTTAGTAAAGAGTACTTATTATGGAAATAATGTTTTTGAATTTTACTTTATAAGAACATACTTGAGTGAACTGAGTATAACACATTTGCGTGCTATTTACATTTAAATTAAAATGTATTAAATAGTTTTATTAATTCATACTAAATGCAGTTTTTTTAACTAAAGAGTGCTTTTTAGCCCACTAAAGTAGGTAGTAAGTAGTAAATGTATTCGCAGTTATACATTTGTAATGATGAAGTTGAACTTAAGTACATTTAAAATATATTAACTTTTAACAGTAATATCCAATATCACACTACAGTAAAATTATGATCAAGTACATGTGCTTTAGTATGTTAGTCAACACATCAAAATAAGTGTACTTCTTTAAGATTATTAAACGTACTTAACACATAGTAATTAACAGCAGTTAAAGAGGGACAACATAAGGATTGCAACTTTAAAGTAAAACATTTAAATTGACTTTTAAAAAGTGTACTTACTGTAAGTGGGTTGGAGAAACGGTCATGAAAGTGTCACTCTTTAAGTGCACATAAGTGGCCTTTTATTCAATTATTATTATATTATCTATTAGTTTTTACAAAAATATACTTTCAAGATTTGAAACACACTACAAGTGCACATTCAATACAGTTAAAGGGATAGTTCACCCAAAAATGAAAATTCTGTCATTAATTACTCACCCTCATGTTGTTTCAAACCTGTAAGACCTTCGTTCATCTTC